GTTATTCTCATTAAAAATAAGATTGCTCCACACGACACTCGCTGTAGTGTAGTAGTTTTGACAATTCTGATACGTCCCTTTCCTCCCCGTGATCATCTTTTGAATTAATATATCTACATTAAGCTTGGAACTGAAATATACCTCTTATATCTCACTTGGTTTTAGGCACTTTTACCATAAACTGCATCTCAACCATTTGGTAAAGATCTATAATGATAATAAAAATAAAAATAAAAGTTTGAAAAAAAAAAATGTAAAAACAATCTGAAGAAAAAAATCCATCACTTTCTTCAAGGAGTGAATGTTTAAAGGTGGGACGGCTCCGGCTGCAAAGTGCCGAACAGTGGGTGTGTCCTTAGGCAAGACCCTATTGCCTAAGGACACACCCCCTACACCCCCATTGCCTAGAATGAGTCTGGTGTGTGTGTTAATGGTTGGTGGTGGTCGGAGGGGCCGATGGCACATACTGGTTGCCTCGCTTCTGTCAGTGTGCCCCGGGGCAGCTGTGGCTACAGTAGTAGTTTATCACCACTGTGTATGTAGTGAATGAATATTGATGTGAAACGTCTCTGAGTGTCATGAAAAAGACGCTATATAAAACCAATGCATTATTATTATTTAAGCAAACACCAAGAATGATATCCTGAAATTACCAATTTAGATATATTTCATATTAAACATGCTTCAAAAGGAAAATACAGAATTTCTCAATCAACATTCTGTAATAGTAAACAAAAAAAATCTAACAAGATCAAAAACTCTAAAAACTACATTTTGCATCTTCTGTCTCCTCTAGTGAAGCGCCCTGAGAAAATTGCGTTAAAAACCAGCTTTATGCATTTTTTCCTCTCAAGTCGTCTGGTCGTTTTGGGAGCCGCTCCTAATCTCTCCTCTGTCTCTGCTCTGAGGGAGGCGCTGGTGATAAGAGAACCCCTGGGCTCTGCTGCGGACGTCCAGATGTGAACAGCCCCAGAGAGGAGCTCCAGAGGCCAGGCCCGGGTCCCACCAGGGGCCCTTTATCTGCTGCTGCCAGGGCCACCAAGCAGCAGCACTCATCCACCACAGCTACAGTCATCAGATGAAGCGGCAACACTCTCCTCATTGAGTAGTTCACATTTAAGAATCATTTCACTCATCAATACAATGCACCCTGAGTTTTTTGAGAGCCTCTAAATCTAATTGACTCTCAATGGCCGCGGGGAGTCATAAAGCTGTGTGTGTAAGTGGTGCATTACGTGTTTTGTTGACGTTAATTTATAGGTTGTTATAACTGGTTTTATGGGGTGACAGTGGCTCAGGTGGCAGAGCTTTGGACCTATCTGCTCCCACTGATGTCTGCTGTCGTGTCCCTGGGCAAGACACTTTACGCCACTTTGCCTGAAGCCCCTGCTGAAAGACCAAGGCCATGTCTTCGATAACTGTCAATGTCAGCTTTATTTGTATAGTACCTTTACAACAACACTGTACTTCACAGGTACGAAAGACAAAGAAAAGAAACCAGCATAAAACACATACACATACATGTTAAAAAGTAAAATGGTAAAACTCGGTGTTAAAAGCCAAGGCGTAAAAATGTGTCTTTAGACTAGATTTAAAAAGTAGCTGCTCTGATGTACACTATTCCAGATTTTCCTCCATCTGCACCTGCGGACTCTCCTGCCCGACCCGCCTGGGAGCGCTTCAGTCCTGCAGTAGCTGCGTGGCATTCGTCCTCATTCTGTAGCTTAGGTCCTGGATCTAAAGCCCGTCCGTCCGTGTGGAGCGGATCTCACTTTTTTCCCACTGGGTTTTTGTGAGTTTTTCCTTGCCGATGCAGGAGGTTCTGTTAGACAGTTAATGTTCAACAAAAAGGATGAGATGACTTCTGTTGTGATTTAGGGCTATACAAAAATAAATTGTATCGTATTTTGAGGGCAGCGACAGCCAAAGCCCGGTATCCTCCAGTTTTAAAGATGAAACCTGGGCACGTTCAACAAAACTGGTTTTCTGAGCTCTCTGATCTGACAGGAGCAGACAAGATGACTGAGCAGCCATCATCCTGTAGACTAATCACCTGCAGGAGGATCAGCGAGGGACTGGTGCTATGAGACAAGTCACTTTAAGTCACTAATGCACTAGGACTGAAAAACCTGCACTGCTATTGCCACTATTTGACTGATTCTATCCATGCCAAATAATAATAAAAAAAAATCTCCAGTGTGAGATCAATAAAGTCTATCTTATCTTAAAGGGGACGAAATGACGTGACTTGGTTTATGAAAAAAAAAAAACGTAGATAAAACAGGCCATCTGCGTGTAGCCCAGAGGCAGCATATACTGTACATATTTGCTTGTTTTTAATTGATCAGAAGAACAAATGGAGGTCATGAAGTTGCTGGTCGATCACAACAGATCAATGTTGGCGTCTACATTAATCCCATAGGTCAATATTACAGATACAGCACAGTTAAAGAGGTGAAACCAATGATTCTGATTAAAAACAGTCCATAGAAAACAATAGAGCAGTGTCTTTGTGACTGAACATCAACAGCAGGGCCGTTTATGATGTTGGGATTAATCCTGCCTTTAATATTTATAATGACTGCCATTTTTTATTAGGATTATGTTTCTCTTGATTATTTATTCATATGCAATCTGTGCTGATGTGTTTAGAAAAGATAATATTTATGCTGAATTGTTGGAGTTAAAGGTGACAAATAATTCAGATTTAACTCTAGAATATCTTTCAGAAGTTTATATATTTCTGTTAAATTCAACTCTTGTGCAATCCTTGACACAAAAAAGACCCATCAGAGATTCAAGTAAAAAACCCTAATTTCTTTTCAAGCAGACTTATGATTTTTCATAACTTGACCAGACCCTTTTTGACCCAAATTTATGGTATTTTTCTTATACTTTTACTCACTGTGGTGCGTCATTTTGACTGATGGATAGCACCAGGGTTCAAATGTAAAACACAGAGGTATAAGGCGTAGAATCATTAGATGTAAAGTGACATATGCAAAGCCTGTCGCTATAACTTTGATTACAGTCCATTCTCAAAATGTTCCAATTTTCAGAGATGTCTTATTTGAGTTTTGTCTTTACTTTTTCCCCCAAGCAACAAGTCATTTATCAACATTATAACAAAGGCGTAATATGTCTCACTTTGCATGTAATGAGTGTCATATTTTAGTTTCTCATTGGAAATTGGATTACAGGGGAAATTTTATGAGTAAGTAATCTTTATATGGCGCAGACCAAGGTCACACAAAGCGCTTTACAATTTGAGTGCACCAGCAATCTCCAATCACTCCACACACACAAAGTGATTGGAAAGAAGAGACGCTGAACACCTGGCACGCAGCTCCTGATTATCATTCACTCTCATTATGTTCATACCTTACGCTTTAGTGTTAGGAGAAACCAAGCCTCCTGAGATAAACTACAGAGATACGGGAAGAACAAGCTTGGTCTTACACCATCGTACTCATTTCGTACTAAGGTCTGGATTTGTTCCATTGAGCTCCATTGAGAACAGGTGGGAGGGGTTAATCCTTTTGCAGATTAAAACGATTGGATCTGAGTTTACTGTGACGTATGTAATGAGCCCGAGTGAGTGAGGCATTTAGCCTAGCTGTTGGCAGCACGGTGGCTGAATGGATAGCACTCTCACCTCTCAGCAAGAAGGTCCTGGGCTCAAATCCTGGTCGGACTAGGGCCTTTCTGAGTTGAGTTTGCATGTTCTCCCAGTGTCTGCGTAGGTTTCCTCCGGGTACTCTGGTTTCCCCTACCACTAATAACATGTCCAATAGCACTGGCGACCTCGCTCCCATCTCTGTGTTGAGTGAGGACAAATGCCCAAAAAAAATAACAATTGTAAACCGCTTTGTGACTCTGGTCTGTGAAAGGCGGTATATAAATAAAGATTACTTACTTTCTTACTTAGCTGTAGCAGTCTCCTTTGTCACAAACTGAGCCCGTGGAGAGTCAAGCCACAACATCTTTGCAGCAATGACATTTACTAAACATTCCTCTTGCTACAGAAAAAAAAAAAAAATTTGGAGCTGAACCAGAACAGATTACTTTACTATTGCGTTTACCGCCATTGACAAACTAAAACCAGCTAGTTCGGCGCAAACTCTTGACGTCACCGACACCGACCTGCAGCACCTGCCTCCCCCGCTCTCCGATTGGTCGGAGGAGATTCAACCGAGGAAACTGCAGCCACTAGGATCAAACCCAAACGTACATGTAGGAAATTATCATGGACCAGAGTTTACAGATGGATAAGACCAGGCAAGGGAAGAACATGCAAACTCCCAAAAAGTCAGTTTCATGGAAATAAAGCCGCCTCAGGACTTTCGAGAAGACATTGCATTTAACAACCAGAAAAAATAAACTTTTCAAGAATACCCAACTTTTTTTTTTTTACCCTAAATACATAATGTGAAAATGTGTTCCTGTGATTTTCAGAAAGTAACTGTATTCTTAACTCTAGACTTTAAAGAAGTTACTGTAATGGATTCTCAGAGTATTCTGAATCAGTCATGGGATGTATTCCGTTACTCTCCAAACACTTTGTGCCAAGTTTGAAATGTATAAGTCTTCCTGAGGCTTTGACGTTAAATCCATAGAGGTTAATTGAGATCATACTCTCTGCTTAAGAATAACGTTTTTTTAAACTAAAACCCTGTGAGCAAAAGTGCTATGTAAGCACTTTCTCAAATATAATGGTCCCTCTGAGTCCAAAGTTTAAAAAATCCTCACAATATTCTGTTCCTGATATTTGACCCTACAATCGTCTTTATTGCATCACATTTTGTTCTGGAGCTCAAACTAATCACTGCCAGCACAAGATTTCCTGCCAATATCTAAACGTTCCTCTCTCCGAGATGAAAATCAAAGTGGACAAAAGATGAAAACCATGGTCACTTTATTTAATATAAAACATTGTAACAAAAACGGAGATTCCTTGTGTTTTATGGTTCAGTTTCGACGTTTGAGTTTCAAATCTGCGTCTACGTGGGTTTGGTGAGCAGCTGTGTGGAGAAGTCGTACAGGTCTATGTTGACTTTCTTCAGCGTCTGCACCTCTTCTTCCAGCTCGGCCACTCGCACCTTTGTGTTCTCGCCGTCGCCAAACACAGACTGGGAAAACAAACGCCATGTGATCAATGACAAGGACATCTGTAAGGACTTATTTCTTTTGATGAGGAGGAAGACGCAGCGTTCTTTAGCGAAGGCAGAGGTACTCGAATAAATGAGGCTCAGAGTGAGATCCTAAAGCGATTGCCCCGAGAGTTGTGTTCATGACAACAACCTCAAGTTACGTGCCCCGAGTACGTGCTCCGTGTACGTGCTGTAGTATTTTTGATCATAAAGAGCATGAAATAAACATCTGTTATGATCTTTATAGTAGAACGAACAACTCTGCTCAAAGAGAAGCATAAAAACACTAACACAGAAGTAAATTAAAAGAAGTTACTTTCTTTAGAGAGCAACTAAGGTAAGTAGCAGCAGGCTAGATAAGTAACAAAAAAAGTAACTTCCTCAAAACTGATGAGGAATGAAGGTAAAGTGTGCGTGGACCTACCTTGTCTGTGACTGCGTTCATTAAAGAATTGAGTTTATCTGCCTTTTGGAGGTAAGTCTCATCTTCTTCCTAAAAATACAAAGATCAATGGTACACTTCATTTTAGGCACCACAATGTCATCAGTAATTTAATCTGTGAGAAATAGACAAAAACATGAAACTTCTTTCTCCATTTCAAAACTGAAATGATTATTGCTGATGCCCCAGAATTAAAGCATGTTATCACCTCTCGACTCTCTGCTAAAACTCTCAAATCAGCAAAAATCTAGGGGTAATAACGGCTCAATGTTAACATTTCCAAAGCCAGTCAAATGGCAAAGCAAGTTTATTTGTATAGCACAGTTCAAAGACAATGCTCCTGGAGTGCACTGTACCTGTATGTGAAGACCCAGGCGCACACACATCTCCCCGGACTCGCTGGCGTCGCCTTCGCTGCCGTGCACGTGTCGGCTGAAGCGCGGCAAAGGTAGTGAGGGCCGGCTGTCGGGCAGGAACATGTTCGCAGGGGCCAGCGTGATCACTGCATTAGTCACCGGACCTTGAATTAGAAATGATTGGAGCCATGAGTAACAATACAATCACCCAGACAAACACTGTTAAATAAACAATGAGAACCTGAGTAGAACTTGTATTCTGGTTTTGTGGTAGTAAAAAAACTCGATCAGCTGATTTATGCCATCAGGGCTGAATGGGGAGGACTGAGCAGAGCAGGAGCCTGAAGGCAGCCAACAGATCAAAGTGAGAGGAAACTCTTCAATTTGTATCCTGAAATAACCTGGAAAAGGGGGAAATGAGCTGCCACCTGCACAGGGCTGCAGCACGGCTTTGGCAATTCTCAGAAGAATTCAACAACTCCAATGTGTTAGCCCGTTATCTGTCACTGCGTGTGCAGATTCAAGCTGAATTTAGGACGATTTGACAGACCAGCAATGGTCTTCACGAAACGTCTACATGAAATATTTATATAATACATCAGGAAGAAATGTTTCATATTTTTCATAATGACATGACTGGAGAAATAATTAAGGTGATAACCATTTGGTTTACAATTGGTCTGACTAAAATATGAACTAAAACATCAAACATGTTTTAGATTTAATTTTATTTAACCGACTCCCAGGAAGGGGCGCAAGGCTCTTCAGTCCTGCACTGCACAGAACAGCCGCAGTCCTCGATCTACAGCCGAGGTCCTGGATCTATAACCTGTCCCTACGTCCGTGAGAGCGGATTCCTCTGTCAATATGGGCCTCCCGAGGTTTCTCACTTTTTTCCCCCACTGGATTTTTTTTGTAGAAAGGCAGGGGAATATCTGGCACATTTATGTACATTGGTCATCGCGCTCCCTATGGATCTATGTTTTGCTATTGTATTTTTTGTGTAAAGACCTCCAAAATGACTGTTGGGTTTTAAGGCTATACAGAAATAAATTGAATTGATTTTCAAAGTACCTCTACTTTACGACCTTTTAAAACAAGGGCGTAGGTTTGCGTGGGGACCATGGGGACATGTCCCCACCAATATTTGGTGTGGACTAAAAAGTCCCCACCAAAATGACATGATGTCCAGTGACCCGGACGGTCCGGGACACATGTCTTCCGTTTGTGCATACGTCGCGCCTCCTCCTCGCCTCCAGAGCAAACAGCAGCAGCAGCAGCACGTGACCCGTTCCGTTCTCTGCAGTGATTGGCTGTCTTCTTCAGCGCCAAACTGAAGCACTGAGCAACTGTTTAATTTTTTAAAGTTAGCCAGCGTGAAGCAAGTGTTTTTTTTTGTTCCCTGAGCGTTGTAGCACGTGAGTAATCAGAGGAAAGTACTGTAGATCTATTACCATTCAAAGTACTTACGTTATTTCTAATCTGTCAGCGCACAGTTTAATGTCCCGAGGAGCTCACACGGCACAGAGACAGAACAGAACTGGCTCCAATAAAGAAACAGGTTGGTTGAAAGGCTGAAAAAATACTTATTGTGCTCTTACTATCCAAAATGTATGAGTGGGTGTGTTGTGTGAATCAGGATAAACTAGGGATAAAAATATTCCACGGATCCACGATTTACAACCTTTATCTGCTGATAATGTAATTTCTGTGAAATGTGTGACAGCGGGCACTTGCTGTTATTTGCTCTAAGCACATTCAAGCGATGAACTCGAATGTGCACGTCCTGGTGCAGCTGCTGCCGCTTTGTAATGACAGCCGCGGCGCTCAGTGAAAGCACAGCTCTAACATGGTACCGAGCTCGGACCATATGCAGACAGAACCATGTTGCAAGTGCGGGTCTCCCTCGTATCTCCCCCGTTTCTCCCCTGTGTCTCTGACATGTCTCTCCCCTGACTCTTCCCAAAGCGCAACCAGCGCTCCCGAAATTAAAGCTCGGATACGTAAATTTTCCATTGCGTTAACGATGCATGCTAGTTGTGCGCAAAACACACCACAACAGGTCATTAAAGTTTTTATTTTGCATACTTGAGAGCCCTGTGAGTCATTACTTGCCTTTTTGGGTTGAGAGTGGAATAAAAAAAAAGAAAATATAGAAAAATCCACACTGTTACTTATTGCCAAACTCTTGTTAACTCATTGTATTGAGAAATACTATGTAACTTTTGACATTGGCCAAGTTATATAAATTATCCTGCAGTTCATGTATATGAATGTCTGTTTTTGATTTTCTATACCTTCTTATATAATTTAGAAAAAATGCCACCTCCACAAAAAAAGATAAAAGATATCAGGAGCTTTTTTAACAGTTGGAAAGTAAGTAATAGAAAGCACAAGTAATAGCAAATTATGAATTGTGATGATTAATCTTCTGTTAACATACATAGGAAACTCAACCAACAAGAGAGAACAATATAGGGAATGTTGAGGTAGAAGCAACAGGCCCTTCAGTGCATCAGGTGAGGTTGGAATTTTGTAGGTATGCATGGGACTATGAATTGTTTTTAGAGATTGATCGTATATGTCAAACAATGTAGTGAGATACTCACTGTAGATTCTAATTCAATATTTTCTCCTCTGTTTTTATTTATTATAGGAAATTGAAAGATCAGAGCATGATTTATTTCAAGTATTGAGAGCAGTTCCTGAACTGTTAGAGCCTCAGGTGAGGGCTATTATGTAGATTTGGATTAGGTTTAAGTCAGTATAGAATGAACGCAACACAAAACTCAGAAGCTCTGATCCAATTGATTTTGTTTTAACTATTAGAAAAAATCCTTAACTCATTCAGTCTACAGCTGAGTTTAGTGTAGAAGGCAACACACTATTGCAAATATAGTGTGTGATTACACAACAAATTCTGGGGGAGAAACTCTGGACCCCGTGTCAATGGGTGTAGACTCAGGTCGTAGTGAATGTCCCCACCAAGATTGGAACCCAACCTACACCATTGTTTTAAAACATTTGCTTTAGGCAGTTTTAAAGACGAAAGGAGGAATCAGAAGCCAAATCAACTTAAACCCACCAGGGTCAACTTAACCAAACCTATAAAAGAACAGACTATACAGACTACTATGTGAGTCAAGAGGGCAGGTCGAGCACAGCTCAGACTTTAAGATCAAAAAGAATACTAATAACACTTTATCATTGGGGTAAAAAATAACTCTCTGCCCCCAACTGTGGATCATGCCTCACGTTTATTCAGCAGACACGCTCCACTTCAACTTTTGAACCACACCACTGATCTTTTATGGGCTCATTACTGTCACTGGAGCACAAACAGCTCGTATATCAGCGGCCTTCTGCTCCCACAGTTGAATGAAGGCTGGCGGACAGACGGACATCCTCTCACATCGAGTGTCTCCTTCTCTGAGTCTTATTTAATCCAAACACCTGAGACAGACTGTTGACACCTGCCCACAGGGGTTTGAACATCACAGTGATGTCACGGGCCAGACGCAGAGCAAAAGGACATGCCCATCTGTCTGTCGCAGAGATGCCGAGGGTCAAAAGGAATTCCACCCGTCAGGATACCCATCGGACTGAGCAGATGTCTGGGTTCAGCTGGCGCAAGCGATGAGCATCAAAACAGAAAGGACCTGACAATGTTTTGCCACTCGGTCTGCAAGATCATCCAATATTATTTGTATCAATTCATAATAATATTAATGACTAATTTTATACAGCGCTTTTCAAGACACTTAAAGACACTTCACATGTCATTATTCTTTCACTCCATACACGGTGATACTGCAAGTGTAGCCACAGCTGCCCTAAGGCACAGACAGAAGCGAGGCAACTACTATGTGCCATCGGCCCCTCTGACCACCAGAGGGGCCGATATATATATATATATATAAACAAATTAATATTCTCTTTGCACTGTGGTCTTTGTTTCTTTGTACGCCTATAGACTACGATTCATGACTTGTCTTTACAGAGAGTATTCCTAATGCAACCAGTATAGACCCAACTCTAAACTAATTATGAACACATTGAAATCTAACAGTATCTAGTAAACAACATGTGGGCTACTGCTGAAGGAACATGTTGTGGCTTATCGTTTTGGAAAATCAGCAATCAGCACTCATTAACATTCTGTTTGGGTGAGTGCTATTAGAGGCACCTGCACCCATGCCCATTTTACAGTCGAAACAATAGCGCTCTTCCTCTACAGAGCGTGTGGATCCCCCGTGTTCAAGCACATTTGCAGACATGGCCATGACACATTTCACCTGGATTTCCATTATTTTCAAGTCAGCTCAGGCTTTAGAGACTTAGCTTTGACCGAATTAATGCGGGTTTGTCTATAATCCAAACAACATCAGATTGGAATTTTGGGAGCACATATCGATGGCTTAAAAAAAAAAAACAAAAAAAAAAACGCATTCAACTGTGGGACTGTCCTTCATGTCAACAGTCATCCTGTGATATTTGACATGGGTTGATCCATGTGAAGGCTCCCAAATTAAATTGACAACTGCAGGGCATTTTGTGATTGCAATATCCAGCATTGTACATCATCATTGCTTGATGCTTTTCATAAACCCCACATCCATTACATTTTCTTACCATCAAGCAAAACCAGCAAGTATTTTCCTCCCCAGAGAGTATTTCTTTTCATCCTTGCCTGGGACATACTTGTTAAGTCCCAGTAGTGGCCAAAAAGGATAATTACTAGTGGCCCATTAGCCTATTGAGATTAGAGATTTTAGCTTCAATCCACCACCTCTGTTTAATCTAGGTCTCTAGATTTCCCCAAAGACAACCTCTGCCAATTCGACAAAGAATTGGCAATCTTCTCCCGACCAAAATGTGCACCTTAAAATCCTCAATAGCAGCGTCTTCTCTTTCAAGTGACAGTGTTGTGCTGACTCCTGCCCACAGAGGATAAACGTTACCTGGTTTCATAAAGCGGCTTGGATTCATTGCTGGCCATGTACATAGCCTTTAGAAATGTAAGTGAAGGGGGTTAAGAACCATGCATGTGAACTCTGATATTGTGCTAAAGTTGTGCTGGTAGAATATTTGTAGATGTTTTAAATGTTTTAAATGTATTCTCGTATTATGGAACAGACATTTGCACCATTTAGAGCTGAGAAGA